TAACACATTGACGAGAATCTATTTATCCTAATATAACATACATATATAACATACAATATAACATACAATAGTAATATAATATAATAAAACTAACAAATTATGCAATTTTATTTTAAATTGTCTACAATTCATTTCTTTAACACCATCCGGTAATTTATTAACTAATTTGAGTGCTAATACGGATGTCATCTACCGTATTCCAAATTCCAAATTAAGGTGTTGTTTGGGCCGTATTTCAATTCTACTCCTAAGTTTCTAGAGGTTACCTATCACAATGTCGAAAGTTTTTTGTCCGAAATAACGTTTGTTCGAATTTTCATTACATCGAAAACAGAATTATAATCAAACAGTTGTTCTTTCAGGATATGTTGAATGTTTATCGCAAAGACACGATTAAGTTCGGTTAGGTTAGGTTAAGTTAGGTTTAAAAGAAAAAACATTTTCCCATCAAAATTACTTTCGAGGTTATGAAATTTCGACCAAACGTTATTTCTGGAAAATGTCATTTCGAAATACTGATAGGTAACCGTTTCTAGGATATCTAAATTAGACTATATTAAAATTGCCTACAACTTTCCTTCGTGTCCCATTCCCGTGTGACACCCTGTATATTTGTTAGTGTTTTTTATGTAACTCGGACAGTGTGGGGAACAACGAAACTCTAAGAGATTAAAAACTCTGTCTTAAAAAACCGTTGGGTCTTTTTTGTGAAAACAATTCTGATACAATCAATTTTTTGGTCAAGCGTGAGTTGTTGTTGTGCTAATTTGTTTTAATTGCAAGTCGTCTCAATTTCTTTTAAGGATTATTTCATTGTATCAGCAGAAAAATCTGGACAGCAGAAGTTTTAGCTGAAAATTTAAGAAAATGTTTTTTCGTACAATTAAAAAATTCAATGTACTTGCTTACTACAATTAGTGACAGTGGTTAAAATATGTAATTTTATTATTTTATGTCTTATTTTCAGATATTATTAAGTTCTTCATCGTATTCGACACCTCGTTTACAGAAGAAGGTAAGGAACAAACAATGTCATATTTAATATTATATTATATAATTTGTGTATCTGAATATTGTGTATCAGAATGTGTTGGGTGTGGCAGAAAAAACATGAAAGTAGGGTAAATGCTGTAGAAATGAGAGCTTTGCGCAGTATGTGCGGTCTTAAAGATAGAATGCCGAACAGTATAGTAAGAGAGCGTTGTGGTATGAAAGACAATGACAAGGATAGAGAGAAGGATACTTCGATCATCATGTAGAAACAATGAATGTTCGTCGATTGACAGTACAAATTTGTAAAGCGTATGTGGATGGAAGCGTGGGGAAAGGTAGACCTCGGCGAATGTATCTCAATCAGGATTATACCAAAATCCGTGAAACCCTTTTCACGGATTTTGACCGGCGCTTTGGATATAAAAACCCGAGCGGTGGGTTTGAACCCATTACCAATAAATGTAACATAATGTACAACACTTTCCCGTACATTGTGTAATTCTTCGGCGGTAGCCCGACTGCATTTATAGCTATTGCGTACGTTGTGTATAGATACCCATTAGTAACAAGTTCAAGATATTCTTTCAATTAACACAATAAACCAAATATCAAACATATTTTCAACCGATAAATAATTTGTTACAGATTTCGACGAAACAATCCCTATAGTAGAGAACTACACTGAAACCAGTGGTAAGTAAAAGAACCCAGTGTATTATAATTACACAGGTTTATTTATTAGGGTTTCTTGTGAAATACTTCCACTAGTTTTGTTATGATTATGAATACAAATTCAAATCAAAATGTTTTATTCAGAAGCTCAATCATTACATTATTTTATTAGTGGTTTGAGACGCCTAAAAAAAGTACTTAAATACTTGTGCTAGGGATTCCCGCTCTTCCGTATGCCATAGCCTCAATCGAATATAGTTACTGTACAGTAACTATATTCGATTGAGGCTATGCATCAAAAATATAATAGTGATAGCATTCAAAATTTTTAAGGTATAGCAAAATAATAAATCGATACCTCTAATGAACACTATGCCAACTTAAATTTTTTGGTTATATTCTGTAATTTTGAATTTAAGCAGCCTTATTTTAATTACTAATATTATGCTCTCCAAATTTTGTGAAAAGAAAAATAAAGAGACAAAATTGGAAAAAAAGAAACTAAGTAAAAACAGAGATGACCAAGAAATTAAGTTGGTCATACAATTATTTCTCTAATTTCTTTAATGAATACGAGAAAAATCTATTATTTATAAGCACGCCACACACGGCGACTTACAGCCGCGATACAAACGCGCCGTTGATTCGATGCAATCGTTTATAAATCCCAAGCGTAGCGATGCAATCGCGCGTTTGTATCGGTGCAGTCGCAAGCTAGCATCGAGTTTGCACCGCTGCTTAAAATGGCGCGCGTGTGTAAAGGTAGAAGATTAGCAACTGCATTGCGTTTGAATCGCTGCCAGAAGTCACCCGATCTAACCGCTCTTACTTCTACAGACTTCCTTACCGCACTACGTCGACTATGTGAGGTAACAGGCGAGAAGGATACAATTTTAGCGCTGAAACATATCGGTGCCAAGAAACCAAAGGCAGTTCCAACCACCACCACCACCACGACAACCACGGCAGCGCCGACTACCACTACTACAGAGGTATTCTTAATGTCATGTCTCGATAATGAAAGCTTTTATACAGATCGTGCCAGAGAGAGAGAGAATGTGTGAGGGCGCGTTCCCATTATGTCGTAACGTTCTATTTATCGTTGAACGACAGTCGTGTCTAGCCTGTTCCCACTAGATCGTGACGACAATTTATCGGTTCACGGCAACCGCCTTGTCGTTTGCACATCGAGTATATAACCAATAATAGCCATACAGCTCTTATAAATATCAACTCCCGTTCGCAGTGAAATATAGGCAGGCCAACTACTGACCTGTGTGTACGTCTCCGTATATTCCAAAAAATATTCTGTATTTATTGTAATAAAGATCTCTAACAATGCCGTGCTGTTCTATTCGGTGGTGCGGGAAAAACAGCAAAACATGTAATTACATAACAAACGGAATCACATTTCATCGATAATTAAATATTAAATAAGTAATTTTGCAATTTTCGTCCATTATAGCAAAGCTCAAGTTAACTTGTCGTTTTGAACTGAAACAGTTGACGACACCCGTCAATTGTTTCGAATTCGGGCTAGCCAATCGGAGCGCAGTTGTCACGGTAATGATATGGCAGAATAGTTTTCAAACAAATTAAATGACATTTCGTCTCTATTTCTGGTATATATACTCGACCTGTTTACACGACAAAATCGGTTTAAGCGGCGATTATCTGAAGTCACATTTTTATCGTGACTTTTTATTTATCGACGACTGTCGTTCTAGCTCGTCAAAAAAGTCGTGAACGACACTTAATGGTGTTGTACTATATGTGAACAATGTGAATATATAAGTCACGACACTTTAAACTGCATGACTATCTGTCGTCACGGCATAATGAAACGCGTGCTAAGCGGTGCAGCCTATAGTACAATTTGGATACACTTAGTGTTGGGTAATTTACCGAAATATATCAAATAGTGAAATTTTTCCCGAAAAAGTTCCCGAAAAAATGGAAAAATTTTAAAAATTTGAATAATATATCTTTTATATATTATTCAAATAAATATCTTTTATATACAATAAATATCTTGTAATGTGATTTGTATAAAGACAATGTATTGCGTTGTCTTGGTAAATAAATATTTTGAATAATTTGTCTGTTTTTGTAGCCACCAACGACCACGGAACCGCCTGTTTCAGAGGAAGATTTGAGGATATTCAAGATTACCGGCACCGTGTCAAAGAGTGAAGCTAGGAAAGTGTTCAGAAGTATCTTCAAGACCTCAGGTACCTCAACCAATAATAACAGTAGCCTCAAACTAAGGAATTACCTAATTTCTGTCAGATTACAGCGTGACAAAAATAGTTCTAAACACGGGAAACTACCATTTAAAATGTATTTGTTTACATTTTGGACATCAAACTATGATTCATACTATAATTATTGGCATTCTCGCCATATTTAAAAACTTAATAATCGAAATAATGCTAAGTCGTCAAAAAATATTTAAAATATTATTCTGGCTAATTGTATCTAGTAAAGTTTTGCAAAATTGTTCCTAAATCGTATGCACCGCGCGAGTGCAGTGAACCCAAGCGCCCTTCGAGTGATACGTAATCTATCCCGATCGCTTATTTACCTATTTCCACGTTTTTGCGCGCAGGTTTCTAATGAGAAAGAAAGCCTTTCCGAGCTAGTGAGGTGAACAAGTTTTTTGTAACTTAGATTTGGTACTTACCAACTTTAAGATAAATTAAAGTATTACTAGAAGGGTCCACCACCACGGGCTATGCAAAGATTCGCTCGTTGTCGAGAGTTATGTTTCAACTTTCTGAGCACTAAAACATTTGATTTCCCAAGTTTGAAAGCAGAGACGATTTTCTTCGACACCCGTGTAAACTAAACGTTTCACATCACCCCATAGTCACGCACTTGCCGTCCATAATGAGAAGAAGCACTACTTGATGGTAATACAAGTTCTGGTGAACCAGGTAGCGGTTTCTCTTGTTTACATAACAAACCACGCGGCATTTCGAGAGAGACTAGAATTGCGGCGGGCTATTCCACTTATCCCAGCGCGTGAGCGAGCGCACTGATGAGGCGCGGGCGCTTAATGCGTTTGTGAAAGAGATAGCAACAGTTTGTCGGTTCCTTTGTCGGCCCGCTGCGCTAATTGGTAGCACGTGCCGCGCAAGTTCAAAAAATAAGAATTTAGGACATATTTTCGGGTTTTTTTTTAGTCATTTGGGTTCAATTTCGGATATCGAATGACCTCTGTAAATATTTCGAGAATACAATCACATATTGTATTATGAATAAGATGGTAGCAAAAAACATAATTGTCATTAGATTAAATACTAAATATCAATAATTTTATTACTACGTCGAGTGCAGTTTGAAAGTAATATTGTTAAAATTCTAATTCAGTTCAACAAATAAAATTTCTCCACAGAATTTGAAGAAGTGTTCAAGATCCTGCGCAAGTGGACCACCCGAGAAGATGTGTGGTCTTTCCTGGAGGCTCTCATTGAGATCACGAATACCACCAACATCGTTGAGGCCTTGCACAGCGTCAAGAGAGTCTCTGGGTATGATTGTAAGTATTTTATTCGTAAAATTCAGGCTCTGCCTCGTTGTCATAACTAACGCATTCACGTTTTGGTAACTTTCGATATTATATTGGCATCTAAAGTTTTTTTTCTTTGAAAAATGTAATTTACGCTAATTTTGCTTAATAACTAGTGAAGTTATTAGCGGGCTTTACACAGACACTCTATCGCGCGTGATACAGCACTATGTGACGTACATGGGAATGAATACATTAATGAATTAATTAATGGATAACCGAATGAAGTATAATTCTATGGAACTAGTGTTAAAACCTCCTAACTATATTTTATATGACAGTTACTCTTGAAGAAATCTTCGAGAAGATAGTCACTGTCCTTGGGCATAAGGACGTTGAAGACTACTACAGGAAATGCTTGCAGCTATTCGACACTGATTGTAAGTTTATTTTCTCAATACCTATGTAAAATAATTAAAAGGTCCAGGTTTTACTTTGCAGAAATCCACGTTAATAAAAATGGAAGTAAATTATTGTTCTTCTTCATGCGGTGCACGGATAAACCTACGCAGGACTTTGTTGCACCGCCAGGTTTAGATTAACAAGTATTCTTTTTATAAAATTTTTAATAGAAAACGAAGTAAGGGTTGCATTGATGCGCGTCTCGCTCGCTTCTCTAATGGATAGCCGTTAAAGTACGCGAAAATTCAAAAAGCTCGTCATGGACCCCCGGCGTTCACTACACAGAGCCCTTAGAGGTCCATGGACCACAGGTTAACAAACCCTATCTTAGCACAAAATTAATAAACTAAATAGCACAAACGCGACTACGTACGTCTTGTACAGACTCTATTTCTTTATTTTTCGACCTAGTGGTCATACACTAACATACTTTGTTTGTTACAGCACTTGACACGGCGCTGGATATTTTCAAGGACGTTACCGGAGCTAAATGTAAGTGTTACTTTCCCTCTAGTACTTCTAGAACATTGATCTATCTAGGTTTCGACGAAAATGCACAAATTTTGCTACACTTGTCCACAATATTTATTGTAATAGATGATAAAGAAGGAAAAGAAGGCTGTAACAATTAAAATAATGTAAAGAAAAGGTACAATTATTATAAAACAATCCATATAAAAGTAACCAACACAATACACAATCATCACCTCAAAAGTAACATATGTCGGAACCATGATTGTTTAGAACTGAATCTTCAGGCATCGTTCGGGCAGATTTAAGGATCGTTCAATGAGATTACTTTTAATAGTACACTGTATATTCTAATCACTATGAAATCCAATAACGACTTGTACTTTCTATTAATTTTAACGATCAAAATGGGCACTTGGCGAAACGTAGGACAGTTCCGTGACAACGACTACATTTGCATATCGACCCGATCGAAAAGTGTGTCCGATCGTGCCTGCCAACAATGTCGCGACTCTGCCGAAGCGCGGAAAATGTAGTTGTGCGGACTACACTGCTAGGTGATACGCTTGGGTTCCATTTATTGTCCATACTCATCACTGGTTTCTTCTTCTTCTTCTAAGTCGTTGTCTTCATGGCTGACGATTGTGTCCCCGAATGGTTTTTGAGACTTTGTGTACGATTTCCGTCCCTCTGGTTCTGCCTTCGGCCTCTTTCAGGGCAACTGTTACAGGGAGGTCACTTGGTCACTCCATCGACTAGGTGATCGACCGCGGAGTCTCTTTCCCTCCACCTTACCCACTTTAACCAGTTTTTCAAGTGGTTGTCTGTTTATCGGCGAGCAATATGACCAAAATACTGTAGGATTCTTCATTCATTACTTCATTTCTTCACTTCTTTATTAATTACCTACGACACATATAATTTTAATAGTAACCGATGTGAAGCTTAACAAAATCAAGTTGATTTGTAATTTATCGGCACGATCTCTCGTTTCAAGAATTTTGTGGGTAGTGACGACGGATCGGATAAACGTAAGAAAAGTGAAGGAAAATGGAATTCGAGAAAGACTCAAAATTTTAAAAATAATTCACCAGGAACCAGAAAGGCGGATTATGAAATTGGTCTTAAATACTGCGCAGGTTATATTGCAAAGCATTGTGACAAATACAGCAGTTCTCCGTCTAACGTCTGTCCGAAACAGTTAGGGCGCATTCGTTGGACACGAATTTCATCGCGCCCACCCCGCGCGGTCGCCGAGCGGAGCCCGCGTTGACGTCTCATAGCGACCGCGTGCGTCTAATTGTCATGGCAAAATACACTCTATTTATTTAGCTTTTACTTTTTAACTTAAATTAGCGTCCCGGACACGCGGGCGAGTCTGGCTTAAATTTGGTCTACAGTGCAGTTGTATTATACGAAGTGCAGTTCCGGAGTCATTTGGAAAGCAAAGCCAAACTGACTTTAAAAAAGCTCGGAGTGCTCAATAGAGCGAAGCGGTACTTCTCACCAGGTCACTGACTTTTGTTATATAAAACACAAGTACGGCCCCATATGGAGTATTGCTCGCATCTCTGGACAGGAGCTTCCAAATACTAGCTTGACCCGCTTAACTCCTTCCAACGTAGGCCTGTTCGTATTGTCGACAATCCGAAAGTCGCAGATGGTGTGGAGCCTCTTAGCCTACGGAGAGACGTTGTCTCTCAGTGTGTGTTCTCCGTCTTTATAATGGGAAATGCTCTGAGGAACATTTCGAACTGGTGCCACCTTCTCGTTTCTACCATCGCACTTCCCGCCAAAGGAGTAGAGTCCATCCCTACATCTTAGATGCCTGGCATTGTAAGACTACGCGGGCATCGTTCCTTCCTCGAACCTGCAAGATGAGGAATGATCTTCCTCCTGAAGTATTTCCTTTGCGCTGTGACATGGGGTTCCTCAAAAAGCGTGTTTACAGAGCTCTCAAAGGCTGGCAACGAATTGGCAGCTCATCTGACCACCTCCCATCAAGAGGGTCGTCTGCTCGTTTGCCTCATTCTTTACATAAAAAAAGTATTCCGAGGAATTTAAATCTAAATGTCAAGACTATAGAATTCAGATTCGCTATTAAAATACATGAAGGCGTGGTAACTGGGCGCTAACTAGCCGCTAACAGTCCAATTAGTAAAACTTAACCATATTAAAAAGACGCATGATGCGAATGAAGCTTCGTACTTGCCATTACCTCATAATTTGGTCGAATATTACTCATTTGACAGTAATTGCTTCGGGCAGAGAACGGAAGTAGAACACCAGGTCTCAAGCTAGGAACTTGTACTTTAGACTGTAACTTAAGATAAATACATATGTATGTGTAGCGGATTGTATTAATGGGTTCGGATGGGTGCCATCAAAGTATGAGCAAAGACCAAAGTATTTACAGTTTATTAATTGATTACAAAACACGTACAGCTATCAATTCAAAAACCGAAACAATAGTAAGAGAAAAGGCAACAAAAACCGTCGCATACAAGAATACATGATATTTATTCGCTGAAATTCACCGTCTCGCGGAACGGTTTCTAGGAGTCGAGTCCCTTCTTGGGAACAACTGCCCGGATCTTCCGCATATAGGGTTAAAATTGTATTGGCTGGAGCCGCGTAACCTTATCCCACGGAAGAGAGAACCTCCTTTACACTAATGATTTCTAATTTGAAGGGAGTGTTTATATTTTTATTATTATATTATATTATATTTATATTATTGTACCCGTTTTTGTTACTGCCTGTCCTTCCTTTCTTCTTTCCTTCACCTTCACCTTGTTATAATTTTACAATAAATTAATGTGGCCCGAGCGTACCATCTATCATTATTACGCGAGATACGCGTGACACACTGTACTTTACAAATACGCATTTTCATTCAATTTCATATTAAAGCTTTGTATCTTTATTTTTCTCACAGCCGCCTATGACTTCGTGTCGCATATGCACAAGTGGACGAAAATCCAAGATATCATTAGAGTCCTAGAGATTCTTGTTAAAGTCACACGCTCCAAAACTGTGCACGAAGCGACCTGGAAGATCATCAGTATCACCAATAGTTACAGTAAGTATCTATCAATATATACATAGATAGAATATTTTACTAAATGTATAAAATATATGTTTTATCATTAAATTATTATCCTAATTTCCGTACGGGTATGACTTCTTATTAATTTGGAATTGTTACAAGTTTTATTTAGCCAAATCTTTGGGTCGTCAATTCCATGGAATCTACAAAGGCATTTAACGGAGTGCGTTCTACCAGTTATGTCCTACGGAGCCGAGACGTGGTTATTAACAATACAATAAAAATAACTTATTTACAAGTTTCAAGTTGCTCAACGTTGTGTTGGAGCGAGCTATGCTTTTGGTTTCTCTGATGGAACAATTTCTAATGAAGTTATGCGTCAGAAAACTAAAGTGACCGACATAGCTCGAAATATCAGTAAGCTTAAGTGGCAGCAGGGCCGGACATGTCTGCGTCAAGGCAAACGTAGTGTAGAACGTCCTTTATTATGTGGATAAATCCTCCTAGGATATCTTTTTGGGCTTCTACCGGCTAAAACTCCTCGGGTGCTCTAGTGGGAGGGAAGCGGGCTACACCGCCAGGTCGTCCTCCTCGCGGCTATCGAAGTTATTGGCGAACGGACCCCCGAAGGTACGCCGCCGCCTCTCCCGATCACGCTCGGCGACCTCCTTCTGGAGCATTACCGCTTTACAGAAGGAGACCACTGCCTCAAGGGACTCTTGATCCAGCATAGCAGCTACCGCGAGAGTATGGATGGAGAGTACTGCGGCAATATGGACGGATGACCTAAAAAGGTGGTCGGAAACGGCTGGATGCGGGTGGCACAGGGCTGGGAGAGTTGGCGTAATCAGCTTATGTCCAACTAGGATGCGTGTTACCTGATGATGACACGCTCCATGGGCGCAGAATGACTGTAGACATCGATGACCATGAGCGTGTAAACGTTCCGAAATTTCGGTATAATAAAAAGAAGTCATACCGTGGTATGAAACTGTAATGACAATTATTTAAGCTCAGGGATTTAGGCGTTGAACTGCTTTCTCGTATTCACGTGTGACAGTGAACGTCAACGAGTACAATTTTATAGTCGTTCGATCCAAATGTCGTTAAAGCGTGTTCTGGTATATGAAACGAACTTAAATCGACTCTAAACGACAAGTCATTCGTGTTCTGCTAAAATTTTTACAGTTCTTACAATAGACTTTCGACGACTAAACGTCAGATTTCACAATCCAAGATGTCGTTCATTAGTCGTTACGGTTCGATTCTACTCATATCAACGTTCGTTCAAGTGATACTTGAATACCCATTTTGGATAGGGCTTCGATCGAGCGACTACGTAACTTCAACGATATTTTGATAGCTTGAACTTGCGTGAATCGCACTACAGGCCACACAGACGCGGTACAGCGGGAAAAGCGGTCGGGGGGTGCCACAGGGCAGTGGCCGGTGTAACACTTATAAGCAACCACAACCACAGAATTCGAGTCTCTGTGTGGCTAGAGTATAAAATAAAATAATTGTAAGATAAACTGTTATAACGTCGACTTTAATATTTGATAGCGACAGACAGTTAATTAAATTTAAATACAACTAGAAACAAAGAAAGAAAATTCTTCTTTCTTTTCTTTAAGTACAACTGGTACCGAATACGTGCATCAACAATAATATTTTGTCAGTAACAGATTTATTTAATTCATAGATATACATATATCTATGGTTTGATTACACAATTTTTTGTGTTTTGTTAGTGTGTATAAATTGTAAAAATAATTATTATTACTTTTACCGGCCGTATTTTTTATTATTTACCGAGATAGCAATGTATATTGGAAATAAAACTAAAATTTTGCAGAGATATATTTATAATTAATATTCTTAAATTATTATTCTTCTTGCAGCCTTATTGGAGTCCATGGAAACCATCTACATTATCATACAAATGGGTATGTTTTATTTGATGCGTTATTAGTTTTTAACAGTCATTTGATTAACGAAAGCGAATGGCGACGGTTTTTAGTATAAATTTATAATATTTTGAAACCTTTTTCAGATGTCATCGAGTTCTTTGAGTATTTGGAGATTTTCACTGTTGAAAGTAAGTGACGATGTTATTAACTTTTCTTCTGCTGACCAGGTCTGGTCAAAATACGTGCTATGTCATAATAAAATACGAAACACAAAATACTGCATTTTGACTTCAGCGTATTGTACAACAAAGTTTCAATAAATAAATTAACTATGTACCTATAGTAGATTGAATATTTGATAACAAATTAAGATGTGGGCAGATTTTGCAAGCGTGGGCGGCCAGTGCGGCCGAGAACCGCAAAAGGCTTAAATACGCCAACCCTGCCCAGTGCTACAGCTTTGTACCTTTTGCGGTTGAAACCCTGGGTCCCTGAGGGGAACAGGTGAAACTTCTAGCAAACGAGGTAGCGGATCGTCTCGTAGAAGCCTCCGGTGACAAGGCTGGCAGCTATTTCCGCTAAAGAATAAGTTTAGCAATTCAAAAGGGAAATGTTGCCAGCCTTCTGGGCACGATGCCCCAGGGTACAAACTTCGATAAAAAAAAATTATCTATCTATGTGTTTAATTGATAAGTTTTTAAAATAAACACGCATTAAGAATTAAGATGTTATTGTTCAATAAATAGAATAAATACATATTTTCAGATTTCGACGATATTATCATGATTATTGAAGAGTACACTGAGACAACCGGTAAGCATCTACTTACATTTTTTTATATCCTCGTATTTGCTGGGGTTTTAATATTATGACAGTTGCACCGTGTTCTAAAGTGTAGCTAAAGAGTCTGAACAATATTGGAGAAGCTTCTTCTTAGCATTTTGCCCGTTTCGTAAGGAAATTGTACAGGGTCGTAGTTCTGTTAATTTTAAATCACCTCAGTTGTGTGCCGGTAGAGTGTCAATGATTTTTTTGTTGTCTGTTCTTTAATGGCGAGTCGGTGGCGTAGTCTGCTAATATATTTAATTAGATGACTTAAATTGCTTCTTAAGGCGAATGACTAGAGGGGACGCGGGAAAAACTGTTTTGCTAGATAAGTTATAAATCATGGTCTTACTAAAAATATACGATACACCTAAGGATATTGTCCAAAGAACGTGTTAATTTGTTACACGGAACTACCGTATAAAATATACCATATAAAAACCTGAAAAAAGTCTATGCAATATAAAATATTGAATCAGTCACTTCGGAAAAAATATATAATAAAATTGAGAATATATACTGATTACTGATACAATAGAAAAAAAACACAAACTCACCTCGAAATTTTACAACACCGTTTATTTATAACATGAACAGTGCCACTTAGAGCTTCAAACTGCGAAGATCTGAGGGGCGCTGCCCGACACCCTGAGACGTAAGTTGACAAGTCCCATGTGCCTGTAATTTCACCAGCACCCAGAACACAATAATGCTGACATTACTGCTTGGACGAACTCTTTCACAGTCACCTCTACTGTTACTAAACCTACTTTACTATATACCAGTGATTTTTTTTATGTCAACTAAACTAAATAGAACACGTATAGTATACTATATACATTTTTCAAATGGTTTTGATTTCGTATATAAAAAAAAATATTCTGAAATAAAGCCAGTGTACCTGCAGCTCGACCCAATCAAAATGAATAATGTGGTTCACGAAACCGGTAACACGGTACGGGAAATAATGAATTGATGTAGTAGTAACTTTTAAAAACAAAATATTATAGTAATTTTTGTACGGAGATCTTTAAGTACTTATTACAAGGAATGCGCTAAATTTAGGTTTTCCACTTAAACCGTGTTGTTATTAAATTAACATTTATGTAAATCTGAAAATTACCCAGCGGTTTAAAGAGTCAAACGACGATTCACGCGTTTTTATGCGAAAAATGTAACATTATTATAATTTATATTAATAAATTTTCAGAATTCCTCCGCGCATTGAAAGTACTTAAACAAGTGACGGGCGAACCCGTTATATTGAACGCACTAAAGCACATAAAAGAAAAGAAACCAAAAGCAATACATCATCAACAAGAGCATCCACAACTTGAACGGCCGACCACAACGAAAACCGAATGGAATGAAGCATCATCATTACCGTCATCACAAAGTTCGTCACACCAACTTGAGCAACCAGATCACCTTCAACAACATGATGAGCCTCAACATTCAAAACAACCTGATGAACACCAACAACCAAATATACCTGAGCAACCTGAGAAACCAAAACAGCCGCAGCAAACTCAACGCCCACAACTGCCAGATGATATTCAGCAACCTAATCATCCACCACAGCCGGAGCTCTCACAATTACCTGAGCATTCGCAAAAATCTGAACATCCACAAAAACCTAAGCACCCACAACTACCTGAGCAACCACAGAAGCCTCAGCTCCCACAACAACCTGAGTACCTAGAACAACCAGAGCACGGAGAAAAACCTGAGCAACCACAACAACCTGAGCACCCAGAAAAACCAGAGCACCCGCAACAACCTGAGCATCCACACCAACCACAGTACCCAGAAATACCTGAGCACCCACAGAAACCTGAACATCCACAACAACCTGCGCACCCAGAAAAACCAAAGCTCCCACATAATCCTGAGCAGCTAGAAAAACCTGCTCACCCGCAACATCCTGAGCACCCAGAAAAACCTGAGCAACCGCAACAACCTGAGCACCCACAGATGCCTGAGCACCCTCAGAAACCTGAGCATCCACAACAACCTGAGCACCCAGAAAAACCTG